ACACTAGAAATTTCTATATTCACTTTAATCCTTTATCGATAATAACAAAATAATATAGATATATCTGATATATGAAAATCATCCGGATCAAATTTTACGATCATATAATACAAACAGATACACACACATACAAACAGACACACACATACACACATACACAATTCGTACAGAATCCCTCGAAAGAAGATACTAAAACTTTCCTGCTTATGTCCGGATGTGTACACCTAACAGCGATTGAAGAAACGATAGAAGGAAGAAAATAGAGAAATAAGAGAGAGATAGAAAGAGAGAGAGAGAGAGAGAGAGAAAGAGAGAAAGGAAGAAAGAGACAGAGAGAAAAGAGAGAGAGAGGCAGATACAAAGAAGTAGCACCCGCATTATATATATATATATATATATATATATATATATATATGTATATATGTATATATGTATATACTTGCTCCAGAGACCTTATGGGTTATTTCAGATAGATGGACGTAGTACCACGAAGCTATTGTTGGATTCGAGATTCGTCGAGTGCTGATCGAGCACTCAAGCGAAGCTTTATTGGAAGCTACATGATGTGCGCGTGCAATCGTCTGTAAACCCTTAGTACAAGGATACAGCATCACATTTCTAAAAGAAGGGTTAAAGGTCCTTCCAGGTATCCACTATAATACTAAACTTTTCACGAATTTATTGAAATTTTCAAAAGGAAAAATATATATATATATATATATATATTTTCTTAAATTGTGTTCTTAAAATTATTATATTGATTTTTTTTCTTTAAAAATTTATTATATTTATTTTCTCTTAAAAGAATTTTTTATATTTATTATTTTCTATGAAAAATTATTGTATTTATTTTTGCTTTAAATTATTATATTCTTAAAAAATTAATATTGAATAAACTTACACACATACACACACATACACACACGTACAGACATACATAGAGAGAGAGAGAGAGAGTGAGAGAGAGAGAGAGAGAGAGAGAGAGAGAGAGAGAGAGAGAGAGAGAGAAAGAGATAGAGAGAGAGAGAGAGAGAGAGAGAATGAGAGAGAAAGAAATAGACAACAGGTGCACACAGGTGATTGGTAATAAATTAAATGAATAGTATATACAGAATTGTTCAATCTTAAACAGGTTATCTCATTGTATTAATTAACATATACGAACTATACCTATATACATATATGCGTGTGTGTGTATATATATATATATATTTTATTTATTTTTCATTTAATAATTTATTAATTAAAATAATCGATGAATTTAATATTGTTTTGTTTAAAGAGAAAATGTATATATATACATATATATACACATTTTAATGTAAATAATTTGTAACACTTCATATGAAATATCCCTCCAATCCCTTTAATGTGTCAAATCATAATGTGTAATATCGATAAAAATAATTTGTAATACCTTAAATGGAACGACCACGTGTTTATGACATACATAATCAGTAAATCCATGATTCACGTGAATTGATCCAAACACTGGTCCAAAAGATAATTTTTTAAGATTTCATCATGAAATTTCCTAAATCTAACGTAAGTTTATTCAATTTTTATAAAATTTCGTGAGAAAATTTGTGATATTAACACCGAACACATATATATATGTCGGATAAGTAAGTAAAGATAAGTAATATAAATATAAATGGATATTCCACGTAAAAATAAATTACTTAATTATCTTTCTTAATTACAGGTACAATAAAAATAATTCGTAATATTTCATGTGGATTAATAGTCTCATATAATCCCATAGTCCCATATATATATATATATATATATATATATATATATATATATATATATATATATATATATATATATATATATATATATACAATTACATGCACTATGATTATTTGTAAATTCTTTTATTCAAGATTTTCCCATAGCATTATTAAATTCTTTAAAATAAAAATTTTCAATGAACCATCGTCGCGATATTTCCTGAATTTATAATAAATCCATTCGAATTTGACGAAACGTCGAAAGAAAATAATATATATAGGGTGTCCTAAGCGGTTTAATTTTCTTCCGTAATTACGAATAGAAGAAAAATAAAATCCTAACGTTTTACGTCGATCATAACCATATAAACAGTTTGTTTTATCATGGCGTTGTTAAATTCTTCAATAAGTTTTCAAAGAATATCGTCGCGAAATTTTCAAAATCTAAAATAAATTTATTCAAATATGATAAAGTGAAAGAAAGAAAAATTTAATATGAACACCGAACACTGACGTTGGAAAGTTAGTAAAGAAGACAATACGTGTCTGTGTACGTGTGTATGTGTATCTGTGTGTGTGTATGTGTGTGTACCTAAATGTGTGTATGTGTGAAAAAGAGAGAAAAAGAGAGAAAGAGAGAGAGAGAGAGAGAGAGAGAGAGAGAGAGAGAGAGAGAGAGAGAGAGAGAGTAAGAGAGTGAGAGAAAGAGAGGTTGAGTGAAAGTCCTCGAGCAAAAAGCAGGCCAGGGCTCCGTATCTCAACTCGAACACACCAGGGCCATTATACAATTACGACGACGCATTTGCTGCCGTCTTTCCACTCGGAAGGCCCTGGGTGTCGCGCGTCCTCCTTTTCCTCGAGCAATTTGCCCTCTAAATCGCTCAAACTTTTCAAATTACAACACATCGTAGGTTTATACACTCGGTTATAGTCGGACGTTATTTCAAATGGTCGACAATCTAAGTAATTAAAGTCAAAATGATTGGTTAACGCATTAATCAATTTCATTTATTTATTTATTTATTTATTTATTTATTTATTTATTTATTTATTTATTGAATTTTCATTTAATAATTTGTTCATTCATGTAATCATTCATTTTTTATTTAATAATTTATTTATTGATTTTTTTTTATTCATTTTTTTATTCATTTTTTATTTAATAATTTACTTATTCATTCATATTTTTTATTTATTTTTCATTTAATAATTTATTAATTAGAATAATCGAATGAATTTAATATTGATTTGTTTAAAGAGAAAATTTTATATATGAATGTGTATAAAATTTAGAATTTTTTTTTTGTATGTTATTTTTATAGTTTCATTGAAAAAGTCGGTCGTTTAATTCACAACTCATGAATCATTTTTATAAATAAAAAAATAAATAAATAAATTCGTTGTATACGAATAAACGATATAAATCATTTTGTGAAAAAAAAAAAAGAAAAAAAAAGAAAAAGAAAAAACACTCCAAAGATACTGAGCTCTTTTTAAACAACGCAAGATAAAATTAAAAATTTCCTTTCGCATGATTTCTTTTTCTTTATTTTTTACTTTTTTAATTTTTTGTTTTGTTTTCTTTTTTTTTTTTTCTTTTGGAAGAAAAACAAATAAATAAATGAGAATAAACAAAAATAAAAGAATGAAAGAAGAAAAGAATGTAAAGTTAAAGGAAATAAAGCAAATCAATGAGTGCAAAGGGAAATCATAAAAATCATATTGCAACGTTAATTTATCATTTATCAGGATGAATTGAAAATTTAGAATTTCTATGATAATCTAATACGTAAGAGTAAATTGTAATCTCGTTTAAAAAGAATAAGTCTTTGACTCGACGTAACTAATGACGTAACTGTCATCGCTATCGCATGATCGTGGGAGGTCGAATCTTACACGTGAATCATTGAATTAGGAGCATAATCAGACGATCGGACGAGGATAATGAAGGAATGCTGACATAAGCGGATGAATTTTCGGCTAAACGAAATTAGAAGTGACTCCCACGATCGTCCTATAGACCTGTGAGAGAAAACCTTCTTTTCTGATTTGATCCAACCTACGCAATTCGAGAGTATCAAAAGTACTGTTAAAATAACTTTGGATTAGAATTAGGACAAAATCATTCTAAGAAGATTTTCCATTCTGTTATATCTAATCACCTTACCTAAGCAACCTACTGTCTAATTGCAAGCACATGTAGATATATATATACCATATATGTATATATAATCTACATAAAGTGTTACAAACTATTTCCATTAAAAATTTATTATATATATATATATATAAAATATTATTTGTAATTATTAATAGCTATTAATAGCTATTAATAGGCATATATAGGAGATGGTCCACTTATAGCTTTACAAATTGTTTTCATTAATTTTTGTGTTATATGTATATGCATTTAATATTATTTTTAATTATTAATTAATACAATAAGAAATTCTCTCTCTCTCTCTCTCTCTCTTTCTCTCTCTCTCTCTCTCTCTCTCTCTCTCTCTATATATATATATATATATATATATATACTATGTTTATAACTTAATCTCATTGTCTATTATTCGTATTCAATTTTAATATAATTAGAACGAAATAGTTCAAAGAGTAAGTTCTTTTCATTCTTCTACTTACTTCTAAGAACTTTATCATACGATTCAAACAAATATTTAGATCGTTAGAACATATTTACGTTTTTTAATAATAATAATAATAATAATAATAATAATAATAATAATTAACTAATATTAATATTATTATTATTTATATTAAATAACATTTTGCACATAGATAATTTGTGATAAATTTATAAAGTTCTTTTTATGTTTATATAGATTTTTTCAATTTTATATATATTAATATATATATATATTAATTATATATATAATAATATATATGTATTTTATATATTCTATAATATACTTATATATATTATTATACAATATTATTACACAGGATGGTATAAAAATCCAATTACTCCTTCATCCAGAGAATTTAATTTAACATATTCTTTTCTTCTTCTTCTTTTTAAAATCGCAAAACTAGAAATCCTAGAAACTTTCGAACGAATCTAGTAACATTCGGACTCGCACACACACACACACACACACACACACAAATGCGCGCGCGCTACATTAAATAAATAAATAAATAAAAATATGATTGCAATAATATATCAGTTATGTTTTCTTGTTCCCAATTTTCTTTTTGTTCGTTTTGGTTAATTTTCTAATAAGAAATATTTATACATTTACAACTTACCGATATGCGGGCCCAAAAAGATGCAAAAAAGTAGACCGGATACGATTCGCAGAGTTTTAGTATCCATTTTGTCGTTTCTCATTCGTCCAACGTCCAAAGTATTCTTCTCATCCAATTACTATAGCAAGTAGTGTTGTAAGTTGTAACAAATACGACACATGTGCACTGAGAGAGAAAGAGAGCGGTAGAAATATACATATATATATATATATTTCTACCTCTCCCTTTATATATATATATATATATATATATATATATATATATATATATATATATAAAGGGAGAGAGAGAAAGAGAGAGAGAGAGAGAAACACACACACAGAAAAAAAACACTTACACCGTTACACACGCGCGTACACTTACACCCGATTTGAAATTCGTGGATTATAAATTAACACCTTGAAAAAAATAGGTCCCTCGTTGTAATCGATCTTTTCCATAAGAATAGATATAATAATAGCTTGTCATTATCTTTTTTAATTTTTATTATTATTATTATTATTATTATTATTATTATTAAAACGTAAGGAAAAAATTATTATCACAAATGAGAAAGATTAATATTAAAGTTTATATTATGAAGTTTATATTATTATTATTGTTATTATTATTATTATTATTATTATTATTATTATTATTATTATTATTATTATTATTATTATTATTATTATTATTATTATTATTATTTGTGAGGATTGTTGATTATAATAATATTAATAATATCATTAATTTGTCTATTAATAATATTGATAATAAAATTAATAATATATAATACTACATATATATAAACATACATACATATATATATATATATATGTGTGTGTGTGTGTGTGTGTGTGTGTGTGTGTGTGTGTGTGTGTATTATAAATATATTTATATATTTACAATGATTATATAACAACAATTATAACAAATTATTATAAAAAGAAAAAAATAAGAATAAAATGAAATAAAATAAAGAAAGGAAAAAAGAAAAAAAAGAAAATTCTTTCTCTGGAAACGAAAAAAATTTCAAGCTTATTCATAGGTAAGAATTTAAATCAAAACTATGTGGCTTAAGATCAAAGATGTTAGCCTCTCTAGATCGCCTTTCTTATTCGACCTTGAAACTGACTATATAAACCCTTCCTTTTCCCCCCACCCCTAATATCCTTCACTCTATATCTATATTTCCTCATTTCCCCCCTCCCTCTTTGTCACTCAATATACGTTCTAATCAATCGTGAAGTATTTTCTTTTTTTTCATTTTGAAAAAATATCAACGCCCTAATTTTCTTTCGGTTAAATTTTTGTTTACTATTTTTGTTTACTTCTTTTTTTTTTTTTCTTTTTTTTTCTCTTCCTCCTTCAACCAGGAAGCTTCGCGTAATTTACGTACGTACGATTGTCAGGATTCTTCGTGAAAGATATGCGGACAGCCGATGCGGAGCGCGTTTGTGCGGACGTGCTGTCGATCGACCGGGTCGACGTCGACTGGCAGAAATTTTAAACGATCGATCGGTATATTGTACCACTCGCCTTTCACGTGCGATCTTGAAACCGCTCAAAAGAGCCACGAACCGAAGAGAAAGAGAGATAAATAGATACATAGATAGAGAAAGAGAGAGAAAAAGAGAGAGAAAAAGAGAGAGAGATAGAGAGAGAGAGAGAGAGAGAAAAAGAAAGAGAGATCATACCATACCGTTACGTTTCACGGATCAACTATAATATTTCTCTTTCTTTAAATTATCTTTAAGTCACGGAGAGATCGTTCCATTATGAGGTTTTGTTATTATATCTTAATTTCTTTTTTTTTTTTAATTATTATTGATTCATTTTTTTGTTTTGTTTCCTTTCTTGCTTTTATTTTGTTCTTTATTTTCTTTTTTTTTTTTTTGGTTTCTTTTTCCTTTTTTTGCTTTATATTATTTTTTTTTCATACTATTTTCTTTTTTTTCAATTCCATTATTACCCTCTGTAAAACGAAAGAAATTATTTTGTAATAAAGTAATAAAATTGTCTCTCTCTCTCTCTCTCTCTTTTTTTTTTTATTCAGATTTTGATATCTGAGGATAATAAAAATTTGAATAATAGGAAGAATTTTTTTTCCGTTGTACTCAAAATTAATTTTTTTTATAAACAAAAATTATAAAATCTCATAAAAACTTATCAACAAGAAATAATTTATTTTATTTATATAATCAAAAATTGTATATATATATGTATATAAATTCTTTATATAAAAAAAAAAAGCTATCCTACCTGTTCACTTTTGTGTTGTAATGTAAAATAAAGTATTAAAATAAAAATAAAATCAAACATTTTTATGTAATTTATACACTCAATAAATGAAACATAGAAATATTTACATTAATTAATTGCATAATATATATATATAAATATATATATATATATATATATATATATATATATATATATATATATATTTATACACATATGTTAACATTTATGGAAATGTTAATTCAAATTTATTGTATTGAAATGTAAGTCGACAAAATCCGAAAGAATATTTAATGAAATAATATAAATATATTTAAACTTGACCTTTATAAATACACATTAATGTTTAATAAAATGATCGAAATATTCTTGAATTCCTGTGAATTTTAACTCTGGTTAATTTATGCAAACGAATTCTCATTGATATTGTATTCATATAATAATTAAATCGTCTTTTTTTTTTCTTTTCTTCTTCTTCTTTTTTTTTTCTTTGAATTTTATAGTTGTAATTAACTTATATGAAAATGAATTATTAATTAATCGTATTCGAATAAATAAATAATTAGTGTACGTTAATGATAAGTGAAATTTTCTTGTTTCCTTTTTTTCCTTCTTTTTTGTTTGTTTTTTTTTTTTTTAAATTTCTTATCAAATCAACATCATAACACTAACGTTCTTATTATTATCTTAACACACGAGAAAAAGAAAGAGAGAGTTTAAGGAAGTATAATTAAAAAAACCGTAAACTTTTAAGGTAATATATTAGAAAAAAGAGAGAGAGAGAGAGAGAGAGAGAGAGAGAGAGAGAGAGAGAGAGTAAAAAACAGAAACAAAAAAAGAGTTTAAGAAAGTATAATTTAAAAAACCTAAACTTTTAACGTAGACACACAAGAAAAGGAAAGAAAGAAAAAGAGAGAGAGAGATATATATAAGAAAGCTTATCTATAATTAAAAAGCTTAAACCATTAACGAGCGTTTTTTAATATTAATTTATTTATTTATTATTAATTTATCATCGTATACGATCATCGATATTATTATTGAAATCAAAAAAGAGAGAAAAAAAGGTCAAAGTTGGACAGAACGTATTCAAATTCATAAAAAACCATAAAGATTGTTTTGAAAGAATATTATATAAAGGATGACATAAAAATATGCATAAACAATTTCATTTATATTGGATATTAGTTTCTTTTTTTTTTTGCAATTTCTCACGATAATCATAAATTAGGCGAAATAATGATCTCATATATATATATATATAAATATATATATATATATATATATATATATATATATATATATATAAATAAACAAATTGATCACCTTGCAGACATTTTTTCTACAATTACTATCAACGATTATCACAATTTATAATTCGACAAACAAATAAAATAAAAAATAGATTTTTATACGATTACAAATGTTAATAAAATAAAATATAAGTATGTATACACACATACTTACATATATATGTATATATACATATATTTCTTTTTTCTTCTCACGACTTTCGTATGAAGAAATTCCTTCTTAAAAATGAATATTAAAAATTCAATAAAAGTACGCATATAAAAAAAACGTCGCGCATGCATGCACGTTGCATTTTACGCGGGAGGAAAAAGGAGAAAAAAAAAAAGAAAAAAAAAATTAAAAATATTCGATTAACGTTCTACTAAACACAACGATGGCGACGACAGATTCGCCGAGGTTTTTCGGTTGACCTATCGTATTGTCCCAGATCGATCTTGTTCGTTATGCCGGAAAAAATGGAACGATGCGAATAGTAGTAGTCGCAGCATCGCGTTGGGCCTATATATCAACAGTTATATATATATATATATATATATATATATATATGCATATATACATACATGAATATATACGTACATATGTATATAGATAACCAATGATAATCTCTTTCAATACCTCAAAAATAAATACAAGCAAATTCATTCTACTATAATATTTTTTTCAATGATGCAAATATGCCTCCTCACAAATATCAATTTTATTTGACATATTTCGAATAAGAAATCGAAATAACTTTTTCATCCACGAAATTAATACTTTTTTCTCATTTCCGATATAAATTTTGAAAAAATAAAAATTTTACATATATGCATTACACAAACACACACACACACGCACACGCACACGCACGCACGCACACACACACATATATACATACATACACATATACAAAATTTATTTCTATATAATAATAAAAAAAATAAAAAAAAAGAAGGGAAAGAGAGAAAATTGTAAGAAAAAAAAAGGAGAAAAAAGGAACAAAAATAGAGGAGAAAAAAGAAAAAAGAAAAAGAAAAGAATTTTATTAAATATTGAATAATTTTCTCCTTTTACCACCCTATACCTCCCCCAACCCCTACATTCTCGCATTACCCTACAGATTTCTTTTTATCATATATATATATATATACATACATATATCTTTGTATTATATCATCTTTTTCCCCTATACTTTAGGGACCCTAGAATAAGAAATTCCCGAAATAAGATTTAATTCCTAGAAAAAGATCCCGAAAAACAAGAACAATACATTATCTATCAAATGACATTGCCTGCAATTCCATTTGAAGTTTATCGAAACGCGTTATATCTCTTCTTTGAATCTATTGTCTAGTAAGAAAAAAAAAGAAAAAAAAAAGAAAAAAAAAAGGAAAAACATGGAAAAGAAGAAAGAATTTCTCGTTCGAACTAATCGATCGAAACTACCGTTTAGAAATTACGTGCCCGTTTTTTTTTTTCTTTATACTCATCCTCAACCCCTGTACCTATGCAACCCCTCACCATCAAACTCGACCCAAAGCCACCCCCAACTCTTAACTCTCCCTTCCACCTTATCCCCGTGGACAAAGACGAATACGAACGATAACCGGAGATTTGGATTCTCATAAAAATCACAAGACAGAGTAAAAAAATTTTTTTTTTTTTTTTTATATAATCATATTGATATATCATAGATACGGCTGTCGATGTAAATGGAACGAACCATCGACGACTTTTACAATCGTAAATCACGTTAATCGCGCTTTTTAATTAATCATGGGCCACCGATAACAAACGATCAATAATAAAATCCCATGGAATATTTCAAATTTTTTAATCGCAAGATCTTTATTAATTACGAATCTATCCGACACACGTTGTGTATATATATATATATATATATATATATTGTATATATATATATATATATATATATATATATTGTATATATATATATATATATATATATATATATATATATATATGTTAATCGATTGTACGTTCATTCAAAATGTTTTTCTCTCTTTTTCCTTTTTTTTTCCTTTCTCTTTCTTTTTTTTTTTTACACGCGTAGCATTTTTGTCATAGTCGTTTTTCCTTTTTTTTTCTATTTCTCCCTTTCTCTTTCCTTTTCATTTCTTTCTCTCTCGCGTGTTTTTGCTGTTTTTCTTTTTTCTTGTTTCTTTCTTTCTTTTTTTTTTTTTCTAGTTCGGGAACACCAATCAACCCGAGCAAACCCGCCACCACCAAAGGGACCCCTTCCTACGCCCCCTCCCCGCCCATCCTCCTACATCCTTACTCTCGTCCAACTCACCGTGTCAACGAAAACCAAGAAAGTAAAAAGAAAAAAAAAAGGAGAAAACAAAAAAGGAAGAAGAAATAAAAAGAGAAGATCTACGAAACCACGAGATGGGGTGACGTTAAACGAAACGAATGCATTCAACGAACTGAATAAGCGACTTTGTTATATTCTTCCTGTCAACGATTTATATGTCATGGATTATACATGTTTATTTGTGACTTTTGACTGATGACAGATGATGACGGATGATAAGAAAATGTGATTAAAGCGTGAATTTTCTTTCTTCTCTTTCTTTTTCCTTTCGTTCCAATACTTCCTTTCTTTCCTTCCTTTCAAATCTTTCTTTCTTTGTTTCTTCTCTGCATTTACTTTTTTCCTTGATTACTTTCTTCCTTTTTATCTTTACTATTATTTTCTCTTAACTTTCTTTCCTTTCTTTTTTTGCCTTTCTTTGATTCTGAATATATACGAAACATACAGATAGACACACAGACACACGCACACACACACAGAGAGAGAGAGAGAGAGAGAGAGAGAGGGACACACACACAAACGAAAGCACGTACGTACGCACGTAAAAACACAAACGAACACCACGCACGCATACACGCACGCAGGCACGCACTCACGCATGCACGCACACAGGCAAACGCAAACGTACACGCACACGGTACACGCACACGCAAAATGCGCACAATTAA